GCATCATAGGAGCAGAGAGGCTGACGTTTCGGGCCTAGACCCTTCATAGTTCACTCTCACCAAATCATATCTGATCTTATTAAAACCAACTGCCCCCCAGTTGAGAACTTTGATTTCAAACCCATTCTTGTCCTTTTCTATAACAATCTTGAATCTATCAGAGTTATGATCATGGCTTATAAAATGCTCCCCCACTGACACTTCAACCATTTGCCCAGGTTTGTTACCTAAAATTAAGTCCAAAACTACTCCCTCTCTTTTGTGGGCCTTCTACATACTGGCTTAAAAAGATCTCCTGGAAGCATCTTAAGAATTCTGCTCCTCTGCAAATTTTTCACACAATGTCTACCCAAGTTAATGCTGAGGAAAATGAAATCCCTCATTACCACTACCCTACTACTTCTACACTTCCGTGAAATTTGCCTACATATCTGCTCTTCTATTTCTCTCAGACTGTTTGGGGTTCCATAGTATACTCCCAGCAGTGTGCTTGCTCCTTTTTGATTTTTAAGTTCTACCCATATGACTTCATTTGAGGAGCCTTCTAAGATGTCATCCTTCCTTATTGCTGGAATAGATTCCCTGATCAAAACTGCAGCACCTCCTTCTCTGTCACAACAAAAGACTCTGTATCATGGAATACTGAGGTGCCAATCCTATCCCTCTCTCAGCCAAGTCTCAGTGACAGCAATGGTGTTATACCCACAAGTTTTAAACTATGCCCTCAAACATCTGCCTTATTCATCAGACTCCTAGCATTAAAGTAAATGCCATCCAACCTCGCCAAACCCTCTTGTTCCTTACAAGGTTCTGAGGAAGGATCACCGGACCCCAAACATTACTCTGACTTTTCTTCACGGACGCTGCCAGACCTGCTGAGTTTTTCTAACAACTTCTGTTTTTACCCCTTGTTCCTTAATTGGCCTGTAATGTTCCATGCCTTCCTGACTCACTTGCTGTCACTTCTAATTTTAATCATTTATTTCCCCCTGCTAAACATTCTGTCTGGATCCCTGTTAAGTTACTTTAAATCCTTCACAACAGCACTAGCAAACTATCCCACAAGGGCACTGCTCCCATTCAGTTCAGATGCAACAAGTTGCCTTGAATAGGTCCCACTGTCCCCAAAAGCAGTCACAATGCCCAGATGTCAAAAGCCTTCCCTCTTGCACCATCTCTCTAGTCACACA